TTTTGCCTGGCAGCCTTCAAGCAAAATTTGGTCAAATCGAGCTGCGCATTTTTCCTCGCGTACGACGAGCAGCCCGATTTGGCTAAATTTTTCCCGAAGGCTGCCCGGCAACATTTGGCTAAATCGGGCTGCTCGTCGTACGCGATGAGAAATGCGTAGCTCGATTTGGCCAAATTTTGCCTGGCAGCCTTCAAGCAAAATTTGGCCAAATCGAGCTGCGCATTTCTCCTCGCGTACGAGGAGCAGCTCGATTTGGCCAAATTTTGCCCGAAGGCTGCCCGGCAAAATTTGGCCAAATCGGGCTGCTCGTCGTACGCGATGAGAAATGCGTAGCTCGATTTGGCCAAATTTTGTCTGGCAGCCTTCAAGCAAAATTTGGCCAAATCGAGCTGCGCATTTCTCCTCGCGTACGAGGAGCAGCTCGATTTGGCCAAATTTTGCCCGAAGGCTGCCCGGCAAAATTTGGCCAAATCGGGCTGCTCGTCGTACGCGATGAGAAATGCGTAGCTCGATTTGGCCAAATTTTGCCTGGCAGCCTTCAAGCAAAATTTGGCCAAATCGAGCTGCGCATTTCTCCTCGCGGCAGCTCGATTTGGCCAAATTTTGCCCGAAGGCTGCCCGGCAAAATTTGGCCAAATCGGGCTGCTCGTCGTACGCGATGAGAAATGCGTAGCTCGATTTGGCCAAATTTTGCCAGAGTCATGCTTATGCAAACTTGAACCTAAAATCTTAGGCATCAGGGCTTGCGATGTAGCGCTTGCGGTGAAAACTTCAACTCAAAATGTTATTATCACAATTATGATAATTGTACTTGGGAGCTTAAAGTTATCATAATTATGATAACTCTGCTTGGGGAGCTTAGAGTTATCATAATTATGATAACTCATCTTGGGGAGCCTGTAGTTATCATAATTATGATAACTCAGCTTGGGGAGCCTAAAGTTATCATAATTATGATAACTCAGCTTGGGGAGCCTGAAGTTATCATAATTATGATAACTCAGCTTGGGGAGCCTAAAGTTATCAGAATTATGATAATTCAGCTTGGGGAGCCTGAAGTTATCATAATTATGCTAACTCGGCTTGGTGCCTAAAGTTATCATAACTATGATAACTCAGGCTAAGGAATGCAATGTTATCACAATTATATTAATTAAAAATATCCTGGCGAAATTCTTCTAAAGGCTTGATTTAAATTATTTAAATCATATAAATGCTCGAAAACGCTTTTCACAATTCAAAGAATTCAAGTAATTTAAAACCCTTTGGAGAGCTTCCACAGGAAACCTTAATATTTAAATTAATTTAAATAATTTAAATAAGGCCATTTACTTTATTTAAATTATTTAAATCCCCGAAAACCCTTTTGACAATTTAAATAATTTAAATAATTTAAATCCTCTGGGGAGCTTCTCCAGGAAACCCCAATATTTAAATTAATTTAAACAATTTAAATAATTTAAATAATTTAAACAATTTAAATAGGGCCATTTAATTTATTTAAATTATTTAAATCCCCGAAAACCCTTTTGACAATTTAAATAATTTAAATAAATTAAATGGCCCTATTTAAATTATTTAAATTATTTCAATTATTTAAATTATTTAAATTAATTTAAATATTTGGATTTCCTGGTGAAGTCCTTACAAAGGCTCGATTTAATTTATTTAAATTATTTACATTATTTAAATCCCCGAAAACCCTTTTGACAATTTAAATAATTTAAATAATTTAAATCCTCTGGAGAGCTTCCCCAGGAAACCCCTTTTTTAAATTAATTTAAATAATTTAAATAATTTACATAATTTAAATAGGGCCATTTAATTTATTTAAATTATTTAAATCCCCGAAAACCCTTTTGACAATTTAAAGAATTTAAATAAATTAAATGGCCCTATTTAAATTATTTAAATTATTTAAATTATTTAAATTTTTTAAATTAATTTAAATATTTGGATTTCCTGGTGAAGTCCTTACAAAGGCTCGATTTAAATTATTTAACTTATTTAAATTATTTAAATTATTTAAATCCCCGAAAACCCTTTTGACAATTTAAATAATTTAAATAATTTAAATCCTCTGGAGAGCTTCCCCAGGAAACCCCAATATATAAATTAATTTAAATAATTTAAATAATTTAAATAATTTAGATAATTTAAATAGGGCCATTTAATTTATTTAAATTATTTAAATCCCCGAAAACCCTTCTGACAATTTAAATAATTTAAATAAATTAAATGGCCCTATTTAAATTATTTAAATTATTTAAATTATTTAAATTAATTTAAATATTTGGATTTCGTGGTGAAGTCCTTACAAAGGCTCGATTTAATTTATTTAAATTATTTAAATTATTTAAATCCCCGAAAACCCTTTTGACAATTTAAATAATTTAAATAATTTAAATCCTCTGGAGAGCTTCCCCAGGAAACCCCAATATATAAATTAATTTAAATAATTTAAATAATTTAAATAATTTAAATAATTTAAATAGGGCCATTTAATTTATTTAAATTATTTAAATCCCCGAAAACCCTTTTGACAATTTAAATAATTTAAATAAATTAAATGGCCCTATTTAAATTATTTAAATTATTTAAATTATTTAAATTATTTACATTATTTAAATTAATTTAAATATTTGGATTTCCTGGTGAAGTCCTTACAAAGGCTCGATTTAAATTATTTAAATTATTTAAATTATTTAAATCCCCGAAAACCCTTTTGACAATTTGAATAATTTAAATAATTTAAATCCTCTGGAGAGCTTCCCCAGGAAACCCCAATATTTAAATTATTTTAAATAATCTAAATAATTTAAATAATTTAAATAATTTAAATAATTTAAATAATTTAAATAGGGCCATTTAATTTATTTAAATCATTTAAATCCCCGAAAACCCTTCTGACAATTTCAATATTTTAAATAAATTAAATGGCCCTATTTAAATTATTTAAAATTTAAATTATTTAAATTATTTAAATTATTTAAATTATTTAAATTATTTAAATTAATTTAAATATTTGGATTTCTTGGTGAAGTCCTTACAAAGGCTCGATTTAATTTATTTAAATTATTTAAATCCCCGAAAACCCTTTTGACAATTTAAATAATTTAAATAAATTAAAGGGCCGTATTTAAATAATTTAAATTATTTAAATTATTTAAGTTATTTAAATTATTTAAATTAATTTAAATATTTAGATTTCTTGGTGAAGTCCTTACAAAGGCTCGATTTAAATTATTTAAATTATTTAAATAATTTAAATTATTTACTTTCACTTTCACATACACAAGCAAGCATAGAAGCAAAATAGACCCGAAAGGTTTTTCTCTCATATATATATATATATACATATATATATATACATATATCTATGTCTATATATATTTTTAGACATAATTGTCAGGTTTCCGGGAATCCCGGGAGCCTTCAAAGCTGTTGCAGCTTGCTGAAAGCCATATCAAGCTGTGGAGACATAAAAGCTATTAACGCTATAGGCTCCGCCGACTCCGGGATTTCCAGAACCCTTTTATGGCGTTGACAGCTTTTGCTATAGTATATCAACGCAATACAGCCTAATAGGCCGAATACAGCTAGGAAAGCTAGAAACCGTTATAGCCTTTATAGCTTGTAAAGACTTCCGGAAGTGCCGGCAGCCATATCATACATGTGGCATGGACCTTTAGGTTTAATTGACAATGTGAGGTTTCGTCTTTCTTTCCCAACATAAAATCAATCAATAAGCTTCCCGCCCACGACACGTCCAAGCCACCACAGACTTCCCCGTTTTTTTTTTCTTTGTCCTTCCGCTTCCCTTCCTATCGTTCATAGAGATGGGCTAGTTTCTGTTTTCGCAGAAGAACCAGAGCACTCTTCACACCCGTGATAGCCATGCTTACCCGGAAACAAAGGAATCCTTTTTTTCACAGACAAATCGAAGTTCTTCTTTCTCCTAAGAATTCCTTTGCTTGAAATGACGTTTTGCAATAGTAGGAACGTGAGTAGGCCAGTTGAGACGGAATAAGCGAGCCCTCAGTTTGTGAAGGGTGTGAAAGGGTCTCCTTCAATCGGAAATTAGAACATACGCCTTGGGAAAGTAGGGAGCCCATAGGTTCCTGTAGGTTCCTGTAGTTTCAGTAGCTGTCCTTCGCCACCTGCTTTTGGCAACTCGGCGAAACAAGGGTGCCGCGTACGCGGGTGTCCCAGCAACTGTCCTTCATACAAGCTTGCAGCTGCCACCGGTGGCGCGGATGCCCTCGGGAACGATATCCTGTGTCATTTATCGTGTATCTCGCTTCCTTTTCTGGCTTGTTTATGCTTCTCCCCTCTCCCAACTCCTGAATCCTTCTTCTCCATCTCCTGTCTTTCGCGAAGCCCAAGAAAGGACAAGAGAAGACAAGGAAGAAAGGATGGAAGACAGAACAGGGAAAGATGTGGAAGAGCCCGCCCTCAGGATATTAGAGAGCTTTCTCTTACCTCAACACGGCACATCTTAGTCCCAAGGTATTCTGCACCCCGGCTTCAGGCCCCAACTAATGAGAAAGTATCCCTGATGTGTGACTGCGTATCCTTCCTGCCTTTCGGCGGTCTTCTTAAAAGCCCCCGACTTACGTGCAAGTGTGTCAGGGTTTTCATCTCAATGTTTCCCACCGTAGACAGGAAGATAGGAACTCTGTTAAATGTAATGGACACATGCACACGATAAACAGGGAAAAGGACGGAGTCATCGGAAGCCCCAGCCCACTACCCTCCAAGATACTTGGCGACGATGGACGCTTTGGCCGCATGGTCTCAGTGAATGTTTGTGAAAGATGGGGTCAGATCCGCAACATATGTTGCGCTTTTGCTATTTTTCCTTCTGTGTTTAAGTCCATTATTTAGCTGTGAAGTTTTTGTTTGAGACAGAGGCGCAGCTCGTGATCCTGGCCCACATAGGCTCCTACGTCCCGGCGCGCTCTGCCAGCTTCCGGGTTGTCACCGCGCTCTTCACACGGATGGGAACCAGCGACTCCATCGAAGCCAATGCTTCGTCTTTCCTCGTGGAGATGAGGGAAACGAGTCACCTCCTCAAGAACCTCACAAGTCGGAGCCTGGTCCTTGTGGACGAGCTGGGCCGCGGCACCGCGCATGTGCCTTGGTGCCTAAGTGCCATACAGTGAATTGGCAGAGCCGTCGTGGCGATGGGGCACTCTATAGACTCTATGGCACTCCCCAGTTCCATTTGGGATGTTGTGAGCCACATGTAAACACATGTGTTAATGTGTGGTGTTTCTTAGTTTTACAGAGAGGGGGGGGGAGAAAGAGAGAGCGAGATCTCTGAAGAAAGTTCTCCGATGGGGGTTAAAGGGCAGGAGGGGGAGGGAACCACCCTGGAGGGGCACCCTGGAGGGGCGCTGTGGAGGGGCACCCTGCAAGAACTGTCTGCGCCGATTTCCTGATGTTCCGAGATACCTCTGAGGACTGAATCCAAGTTGGCAGGTGAAATCCATCTGCTCTCTCCGAACGTGGCTTAGTCTGGTTTCAACGAGGACAAAGAGAACACCCCTGAAAAGAGAGTGCCATCTCGGCCCAGCTCTGTCGACGCGCTGATCCTTGCCTTGCGGCCTTGCCTTTGACCGTTTGATCGCCCTTGTATGATTTGGATGCTTTCACGATTTCTCATCAAATCCGGACGTGTCGCGTCCCCGAGTCACCGAACGGCGGCGCGGAATTAGTCCAAGGGTGGGAAGGGGAAGAACGGGAAGAAGGGGGGATTCGAAAAGAGGGGGTACGGGGACACGGTGAGCATTGGTGAACCCCTCGACATGTGGATGGGTCTTGAAAGCATTCTTGGCATGCACCCCTCAAGCTGGGGTGCCTTGAGCGGTGTGGAACAGATACACAAGCTTCCTCACAATGCAGCGCTGTCACCATCGGAGTCAGTGTATATAATCTCTACTTGTTTACGCTAACAAGACGCTAACAATGTCTTGGCGACTGTGCAATCTGATTGCACCACACATGCTACGAGTGTGCTGCAGACTGCAAAGTCGCTGAGGCCGATGGTCTTGCGATTTGCCGGGCTGTGTCCGAGAGGTTGCTAGATCTGAAAGTCTACACCTTCTTCGCAACACACTTCTTCGAGATTTGCTGGGGCTTAGCTGCGCTCAACGGCTTTCGCAGCATGCACCTGGAGCAGATCGAGGATTCCAAGGACGGACTGCAGCGAACACGTTTCTGCGTGCAGCACGTCGCCTCCATGAAGGCAAGCATCGGCTGACACATTGCGACTTTCGATTGAAGCAATTTGAAGCAATTGAAGCAATTGAAGCTTAGACAACTTAGCCTCCTTTGTTGTCTGGGTCCTGGGAGGCCCTTCACGAGAAGGCCGAGGAACACTATGGCCTTCGCGCTGCTGAGCATCTTGGACTGCCGCAGGCGCTTCAAAGACTTCAAAGAGTCAACGAAACTATGCAGAAAGAATGCACGAAGACACGCGTTTACACTGTTAGCACGTGCGTAGAGGTCTTGCAACTTTGGGTGCTAGAAACGGCGCGGCATTGCTGCAGAGATGGGGGCACAGATTGGGGATGCTGTTTGGGCGGCTGCCAGACACTGGTCCGGCGTGGCGAAGAGATGGCCGTGCAGGTGCCGTGCGGAGTAGCTTCCAAGCATTTGCAATCATTCGCAAGAAAGTTACGGGAAAATCTCTTGGCCTCGCGAATCACGAGTCGCTAGGTGCACGCTCTGCTTGGCCGTGCCCTGAGGAACTGACAACGTGTGTTGCGCGCCACTTCTCTCTCTCTCTCTCGCTTTCTCTCCCGCTCTCTCCCTCTCCCTCTCTCACCCCCTCTCTCCCTCTCTCTCCCTCTCAAACTCTCTCTCCCCCTCCCCCGCTCTCCGCCTCCTCCCTCTCGCTCTCGCTCTTGCTCTCTCTCTCGCTCTCTCTGGAGTTTCTGCTTCTGAGGCCACCGCGAGGAGTTCGGAAGAAGTTCACGAAAGAAAAGAGAGAGAGAGAGAGAGACAGATAGACTGTGTGTGCGTGTGGTGTCTAGAGAGAGAGCATGCGTGTCGTGTCTGTGTTGCAGAGAGAGGCGCAAGCTTCTTTTGGAGAGAGCTCTCTCACTGAGAGCGAGGAGTCGGCTGATGCGGCGGCTACGGCACAGCAGCTCCTTGTCTTGGCACGGCGCTCTTTGGCGCGCCTTGTCTCTCACAGTCAAGAAGGGGAGTCGCTCACTCTCGAGACAGCTTTAGTCTCTCACATAACTCACAGCATCCGTGGAATGTTGTGATGTTTTGGCACTGGGCCAAATTTCGCGTTCTCGGCTCGTGGTCAACATTCGGTCTCCACGGTTTGTTGCGGACTCAGAGTACGACACTTCGCGCAAGGCGCTCCTCCTGCCCAGAGCCTGCCCCGTCTGGCACTCTCTCCTTCTGCGTCTCCTTCGCCTTCTCTCTTTTCTCTCTTTTGCTTTTATCGCTCTCGGGCCTGGGGGGTCTGGGGCTTGGTAAGTGGGCTTGGTAAGTGAGCAGAGTACCTCTGTAGGTTCAATCAATCCTTGCCTGTCGTTCTCCATCAACACCATGTATAAGAACACAAGGTGTGCAAAAGACGAGAGAGATAGAGAGCGAATGAGGACGAGAAACAGAGGTAGAAAGGGAGAGAAAGAGGGTGAATGAATGAATACATGAGTCAGAGAGAGACAGAGAGAGAAAGAGAGAGACTTAGAGATAGAAGAGAAGAGAGAGAGAGAGAGAGATGCGAGAGATGTTTTCTTCGACCGGTTCCCAGTTTAGCGTCTGTGTCACACCGACGAAACCCAGGACATTCCGGGCGCGCCCAGTGCGCGGGTGTTCAGTTCAGGGCCTTCTGCCTTGTCCCCCATGCCCCGCAGAAGAAGAAGAAGAAGAGCAGCATGAGACAGAGCGAGAGAGATAGAGAGATAAAGAGAACCGGATAGCATGCTTCAATTCGGATCTCGGTTCGCACACTACGTCTCTTTTTTTTCGTGAGAACGTATTGCGTGCTATCTGGATTCGGGTGAAGTGGTTGCAACCCTGAGTTTTCAGGTTTTGTGCTCAGACCGAGGCCGGGTGCGCTCCGGGAGGTGCTGAGGCAGAGCCAGGGAAAAAGCAGCTGAGAAGGGAGGGGCTCTCGTTTTTGCTTTCTCTCTCGCTCTCTTTCGTTTCTTACAATTTCTTACTCCCTCGTTGTTTTTTTTTTAAGTTCTTTTCTCTCACACTGAGACCGCTTTCTCTCGCACTTTCGCACTTCCATCTCGCATCCCTCCTCTTCCTCTTGCGCTCCGGATCCTGCGACATGCCTCGCTCTGCGCTGCAAAAGAACTCAAACCTCTCTAAACTCTCCAAAACTCTCCAAAACCTCTCTCTCTCGCTTTCTCGTGGGGAGGCAGATCCGGAAGCCATGGAGCCTTCACAGTCGCAGCTGAGAGCTCTGCGCCACAAATTCGTGATATTAGTGATAGTTGCTTGCGAATTCAGATATTCGGGAGAGACCGCAGCTCCTCACTGAGCGCCCTTTGTGCCGCACTGAGCGGCGGCATCGCGAAATCTCACGATGTGGGCGCGACTCGATGTGACGATGTGCGACATGACACATGGGGAAAGGACACTAGCCGGAAAACTGCCTTCGAGAGCGCTTGGGATCTCGCGGGCGCATGATGGTGCAAGAGACATCGTGGCATCATGCTGTCCATTGCTGTCCAAATCTGTCCAAATCTGTCCTGCTCAATGCTGATGCTTTGGAGCCATGGCGAGCTTGGGCCGGGGTCCTTGGGAATGGCGCCCGAGCCTTAGAGGATCTCAGAGGCCTGAGACTCGTTGTAGGCGACCAGAGTGTGGAGCCGAGGTGTCCCAGCTGTGCACGAGGCGAGTGGCAAATTGGCATATGTTGAATCATTCATCTGACGCCATCAGCTTGTCATTTTTTCTGAGATTTTGGCGCGAGGCCCCAACACGACCACACGGGAGACACAGCCGCTTGCTGGCGCGCGTGTCTATGCGGGTGTCCAGGCAGGGGCCCCAAAAAGGGAACGAGGGGAGCAGCGCGGCGATAGTTCGCCGCGAATCTGATAGAAGCTGGGCTCGGAGTTGCGTTTAGAGTGGAGGCAGTTCTCTGGCACGCCGCCCAATGCTCTTGTTGCCTTCCACGTCCTGCCCGCTGCCGGTGCCACCACCGCCCTCAGCGCTGTTCGGCCCCCGGCGTAGCCCCTGTAGCGTAGCTCAACTTAGCTTTTCTTTTGAAGTTCGAAAGTCCGCTTTTTGAGGCCAAGGTCCTCCGTCGTCGGAGGGCCACGCGAGGCACTTGCAGCAAGGTCCCGCGTCTGTTCCCTTCCCAATATTTCCCAATGAAGAGTTGTTTTGATTTGTCTGAGAGCCCATGAGCCCATGAGCCCGCAGGCAGTGATGACCTTGGTGGATGGATGCTTGTCAGCAAAGAGTGACACAAAGAGAGAGCTCTGCTGATGCCAAAAAAGATCGCAATAGGCATCTAATTTTTCGTTTGCTTGCTGAGAGTATGTGAAAAAAGTTTGAGAGGACACTACCACCTCTACAAGGTCGGGGATGCTCCTCTCTCTCTCTCTGTCTCAGACTCTCTTTCTCACAGACTTGTTTCGTACACGTTGTTGGCGATGTGCTGCAGAGCTTCCACGCCACAGCGGGTGCCCAGCTCTGCAACCAGCGGGGCGCGCGGCTCACTCTTGACGTAAGTGTGAAAAGGGCACTAAAGAGAAGAAAGAGAAGAGAGGTGAGAAGAGAACAAACTGAGAGACTGTGAAGTGTGAAAGAGCCTGTGAAATGAGCGAAGAGAGATTGAACGAGAGTGATTTGGCAGCAGAGTCTTGTGAAGCTGCAAGTGGCGCATTGATAGGCGAGCCGACAAACGTCGTCTACACCTTCATGCAGCAGCTCGAAAGGTGCGTGGCTTGTGAAGTTTCATTTGCGCTGCGGCTTGGCAGCCCTTTCCCTGAAACCCCACATCATTCGCAAGCTGCCAAACCAGTGTAACCGCATCGGACAGCCTAAGCCCATTTGTTATTATCTCCAATGTGCTTTTTCTATGCGCTCCCCCCTGTGCTCCCCCCCCCCCCACTTGTCTTTGTTGGATGTTTTGTTGGTCAGAGTTGTGGGAGAGAGAGACACAGATGGGTTGGCCCCGGCCCCCCTCATGCCCAGCAGAAGAAGAGATGGTTTGACTCGCCCTCGCCTCCGCATGGTGTTTTTTTCTTTGCTTTTTTGAGAAGGGGGGGGAGTAGTGTGGTCGTCTAAAGCTATGAAAGAAATGCAACTTTCTTTAAGAAAGAGAGAGAGCATCTCTCACATCTGGTTCTTCGTTTTGACACACGCGCACGGTGGGGGGGGGGGGGGGGGAATATTGTTTTTTCTCTCAGCGAGCCCGGCCTGGTCCCCTCAACAGGCAGTTTTTGTGATGTAGTTGCTTCAGTGTGCAGTGCAGGAGCAGAGGTTGCGAGTGCCCAACACGTTCGTTCTATGTTTCTCTCCTGTTCTCTCAGTCTCATGCTCAAGCTCTCTCTCTTAATCTCTCTCTCTCTCTCTCGTTTTTTGGGGGGGGGGGGCGTTTCCCATGATGCACATGTTACAGAAAGCACATGCCGTTGCACGTACGTTGCACGTGTCGAGGATCCACCGGGAGCTTGAGCCCTCACATATGGCTGTGGTCCTGGTGCGGAGCCCCAGAGCCATCAGCGTGGTGTTTCTTGCACTTTTCTCCCTCTCTGCACAGAGAGAGAGAGAGAGAGAGAGAGAGAGAGAGTACTGAGAGAAGGAGAGTTTTACTCTGACTCTTCTCGGTCGTTCCCTTTTTGGCACGGAGGACAGCCAGACCTCGGCGCTGTCGCGCCGGCAGGTCCTGCCGGAGTCCGCTCTCCCAACTGCCCTCAAAAAATATTTTGAGAAGGCAAAGAGAGAGAGAGAGGGAGTTTTGGGGAATTAACAGAAAGGAGAGAAGAGCCTCTGAAGCATCTCCGTGAGCGGACAATATGTTTGGAAAGCCATCTGGCTGAAGCTTCACTAGCAGAGGTACAAGAAGAATCGGCGCTGCCGGGGATCCCAGGGAGAGGGAGAGAGGGAGAGAAGGAGAGTAAAATGAACGGAACGTTTAAAGGGAGGGAAAATTAGGCAGATAATCAGGCCTGTGGCTGTGTCGGCTTGAATCCTTGTTCTGTCATTCTGAGTGATCTTCTGAGACATCTGTGCCGCTGTTCGAACTTTGCCCGAGGCCCTCCCGACCTGCTCGTGCAAGTCCCAAAGGTCATGCAGGAGAGGGGAGAAGGGGGAGCAGGGGGAGGAGAGAGAGAAGGGGGGAAGTGTGGAGAAGTAGAGAGAAGATGAGCTAGTGAGTAACAGTGAGCGTGTGGGAGTGCGAGCAAAGGTCAGTATGGGAGAGGACGGTGGAGAGAGTGAGACAGGGACTAGGTCGGGTGGCTTCTTGCGGAACTATATGGGAGTACGAATCTGGGAAAAGGTTGCAGGGGTCGAGCCTTCATGTTGAGGACTCTTCTTGTCGCCTCTCTGGCTGACTCTGGCTTTGCTTCAAGTTGTTTCTATGCTTCGTGTTCGTTTTTTCAAACAACCTTTTGTCCAACCGTTAGCCATTCGTGTTGCTTTCTTCCCTATTTCTCTCTCCTTTGCTTCGTTCTTGAGGGTCGGCGTTTGTGTGGCGAAGCAGCAGAATTGTCGGCAGCTGAGCCCAAGCGGCGGTGCACGGGGTTCCTGCGCAGCCGGGAGATTTTGTGTGGGCTCGCGCCCGTCCCTGCGATGCCAACAACATCCAGTGACATCCAGTGACATCCAGTGACATCCAGTGACATCCAGTGACATGTGACCAGTGGCAAGTCGCCTTGGCCGCTCTTTGTTCGGCTCCGGGCCTGGGCCACAGTTTCCTGCGACTTGCCTTGGGAAACCACCCCCAAAGGTGCACCGACAAGTAACAAGAACTAGGCGTAGGCGACCAGCCACACTTCCACCAGCTGCGGCCACGGCACTCCTCCAAGAACCGTGGCCCGATGTCTGCCAAGACGCTACACGTCCACGAGCCATGACAACACAAGGGTCGGTACACTTCTAAACATGGACCACAAGGGTAGTTGTACGCCCCTCTCTGTCTCTGTCAGGGTAGTTGTACGTCCCTCTCTGTCTCTGTCCTCTTCTGTCTTAAATTCTTCTCCTTTCCTTCTCCTCTTCTCCTCCTTCTTCTCCTGCTTCTCCTCTTTGTTTGGGTGTGGAGAGGCCTGCGAGGCCATGGGCGTGCCCTGGCGCGCCCACGAGGACTTCGAGGCCGACGACCTCATCGCCTCCTACACGCCGCTCAGCCCGTCAATACTCGAAAAAAATCACGCATCAGACTCTATGAGAAACAAAATGGAGAGAGAAAGAGAGAAAGAGAGAAAGAGAGAAAGAGAGAAAGAGAGAAACAGAGAAACAGAGAAACAGAGAAACAGAGAAAGAGAGAAAGAGAGAAACAGAGAAAGAGAGAAACAGAGAAACAGAGAAACAGAGAAAGAGAGAAAGAGAGAAAGAGAGAAGAGAGGGAGAGAGAGATCTTGAGAAAACACTTCCCCCCCTTTCCATTTAAGGCAGTGAAGAGAAAAGAGAAGCGCGCAGAGAGTGCAGCGAGGCGCCGCTTCGTGGAGTGCGGCGAGGAGGGCGTCGTGAAGATTCTGAGCTGCGACAAGGACCTCCTGGAGCTGGTCAGCGACAAGGCATCTGAGAAGTGTAAGGCAGTGCAAGGCAGTGCAAGGAGAGTAGGGAAAGAAGCTGAGGAGAGTTCTGCCACGACTGAAAACAAATTTCCAAAAATGGGGGGCACCAGAACGCAAAAAAGAAGGCCGAGCCCAAGAGAGGGAGAGAGCGCGAGAGAAGCTCAAGAAGCACTCGGGCAACGCGAGAGCACCCCTCACCTCATCTGCCTTCCTACATTCTTCTAGATCCTGAAAGAATCTTATTTCATGCATCTGAAGATGCCTCAATGTCTTACTCTCTTTGGTTTAGGCATATGTGGCTTGCACTACAGGGGTCTTCTCCCTTCGGCCTCCCTCTTATGTGGTTCTGAAGCAGAGATTTCACATGGTGTGCTATTCAAAGCATCGGTCTGCGCGGTTTTGCATCTTGATTTTCGGTGCCCCTGGTCCCAGAGGTGGAGTTGGTGGACACCCGGGACCAACACTCTCCCTTCCAGCGGATGGACGTCGCCCAGGCTGGCACAAAAACCATCGGTGCAACGCTCGAACGCGCGGGGCCCCGTCCAGCTGAGGTGTGGAACAAGTGGGGGGTTCGACCAGATCAGATTCCAGATCTCCTTGCCCTCAGCGACTTGACTTCTGAGACAAGAGAGAGCACGTTTTGTTCCACTATGACGTTTGTGTGTGTGCGTCTGTAGTTCTACTCTATTCAGTGTAAGAAAGCACACTGGGGGAGGGTTCCGTGTTGTGTTTGTAGGTGCGTGACGGTGCGTGTTTGCTCGCTCGTTTTGTTGCTCCAGTGGGCGACACGGCCGACAACATCCCGGGCGCCAGGGGCACAGAATCATTCAGAGAATCACTCGATTCACTGGCAACAGATCGACATTGAGACAGACTTCATGTTTGAGCAGACTTGCTGCACTTGTCCGATTTATGATTTGACGCTGAGAGAGTTCTGAGAGTTTCTGAAAGAGTTTCAGAGAGCTTCTGAGTCCTTCGCGAGGTTCCTGGGATCGGAGCCAAGAGAGGCGCAGCGCTGCTGCAGCGCCCGCGCTCAGATCGGGATGAGTTCGGTGAAAATGTGGGGAAGACAATGGAAGACAATATGCTTCAAATTAAAGTGGGGAGCACGGATCTGCACCCCATGCAGCACTCAACTCTTTGCAGCTCAGTTTTGCCATGCGAAGTTCCACTCTCTCTCTCTCTCTCTTTCTTCTCTCTCTTTGTTTTCTGTCTTCTCTGTGAGTTCTGACATGTTCTGACCAGGCACTGCGGCAGCCTGCAGTCCATTGTACAGCGAGCACAGGACGCGAGCAACGCGAGAGAATGCGCAATTGAGTCATCCAAGAGGGCTGTCGCCCCGAAACCGACAAGCAGCAGGGTTTGGGCAAAAGGCGGAGCTTTTATTCGGCTTTTCCCGGTCTAACAACAAGGGCAGCAGCAGCAACAACAACAACAACAACAGCAGCAGCAACAACAACAACAACAACAACAACAACAACAACAACAACCACCAACAACAACAACAACAACAACCACCAACAACAACAACATCATTTTCATTTCATTTCGGACGCATGTGCGGGTCATGTCCCACACCTTGGCGGGCATCGAGGGGTAGAATGACTTGAAATGACGGCTAATTCTAAGTCAACTTGAGCGCTGCGTGTAGGGTAAAGCCTCTAGCAAACGAATGCAAATAGCAGGACAAGAAAAGAAAAGCGCTTTTGTTGACTGTCTTGCCTCTTTTTTCCACGGGCAAACGAGCCTGTCGTGCTAAGTTTCCTAGCACTTGCATGCGTGCATGCTGTTGTTTGCATGCTGCCTGCATGCTGTCGCCTTTGACGTGTGCCTTTGGTCTAGGCAACAGGTGCGGAGGTGAACTGCTTCCATCACCCCAGTTCATCACCCCTCCTTGACCACTTCTCCATGACGTTCAAGGAACTCTCGACTACGCTCTCACGATAGCTGTGCGCCCAAATGCTGCTCCAAATGATCGTTAGCAAGGCCCCAAAAGTCTCAACCTGTGCGTCACACATGCTGCAGGCAAGATTGTCCATAATGGTTGGTACCCCGTTGACAACACTAGACCGACCACTGCAACGCTGCTGCCGGAGGGAATTCGCCACATGTCTCCGTGTCGAACAAGCATTTGCAAAAACTTCCCTGCAGAACAAGCATTGATTTGCGGTCTTCCAGAGGTGAATGCTCATGTAGCTTGGTGCAGTGTATTGCCAAGGCTTCCCTCAACTTGAAAGCTCTGCCGCACTGAGAACCATCTGGAAGTGTGTGCTCGCACATGCTTCCCGTCATCTGGAATGTCGGACAAGTCTTCGGGAGCCTCCCCACGCATTGAGGGGCTCTGGCATCCTGGTAAGAGGGTAAGAGGATTCCACACAGAGAAACTTCCGCCGGAGAATGGACAGACACATCAACCAAATGAAAATCCAGTCTAATGGGATCAAATTGCCAAGTCGCTCAAAGGCTCATTTGCGAGGGCTGTAGCCGGAGCCCGTCAACCATAGCGCAGCAACCGCGTCCGCGTTCAGACTCCTGGGCTGCGGGTGTCATCTCCACCTTGTCCGACTTCATCCTTGTCCGTCGACCCGCTCCGGCATAGAACTTTAGCGTGCAAATACCCCCAAACGGGCAAAGCACAGACCTGCTCTGGCGGCGGAGCCAAGCGGGGACTGTGTGGATCTCCGAAGCTCTCCGACCTGTGCCGGGGGGGGGGGGGGAGAAAGAACTGGCGGGCCTCATCGCGGACCATCATCTGAAGCATTTGCGAGTCACTCGGCACACGATTTCGCCAACCGCAGTGGGTCTGACACCGCCAAGAAAGGATACGGGAAGTTCGCGAAAGGATCAGGGCGGGGAATACGGGCTCGAGAAAGAACCTTTCGGGACTTCACTGGACGCCGCCCGGGGCTGGCGGATCGCGAAGAAGGCGTGTGCTGTGAGAATCTGTGTGAATGGCGTTTACTTATGGAAGTGGGGGGAGAATTCAGGAGGGCGTCTTGTCCGTGCCCGGCATCTCCCCCCGGCTGCAGGGCCACCTCCGCGAGTGCCCCCAACGTATGCGTCGAAAAGAAGAGAGAGTTTTTGGCCACACGCACACATGTGCACACACACTTGTGCACACACTCGCATCCGCAGACGCACACGCACTCGCTCTCTCTCTCTCTCTCGCTCTCTCTCTCTCTCTCTCTCTCTCTCTCTCTCTCTCTCTCTTTCTCTGGCAATGAGAGGTACGGTCCCAAGGCTTTGGAGCTGCTGGAGACGGTGGTCCGGCTGAAGCGCGTGGAAGTTGAGGCAGAAAGCGAAAGAAAAACCCCTTCCGACCAACTCTCAGAGAAGCAACCTACAGGAGAGAGAGAGAGAGAAAGAGAGAGAGAGAGAGACACGGAGAACACAACCTCGAGTCAGATTCCATTCAAAATCAGTTGGATGTTTCTTCGTTACATGCTCTGTGCATCATGTGCTCCATGTCTCCAAGTGCTCCCCTCTCCTCGTGCTGAGCTTTTGAGCAGCTGAAAGGAAAACCTGGCATGCTTCGAGCTGCCCGAGCGCGTGGGCGGCTCGGGCGAAGCTTCGGCTCTCCAAGAGAGGGGAGAGTGTTTTGCATACTTGGGGATGCGTCTCTAGCTTGATGAAGCGACACTCTTGCAACAGCTCTCGCAAGGATCAGTCCTGGCGTGGAGCTGCCCTCGGTGTGCCACGGTGTGCCACGGTGTGCCACGATGCCACACGCTGTGGTTTGCATGTGGTGCGGGTTGTTGCGCAACATCGCAATCTTTCGGGCCTTTCGGGCGCCACCCTCACGATGATCCAAGCAGAATAGAACTGTCACAATTGTCGCTAGTGCCTGCTTTCTTGTTCTGATTGTTCTGCGCCCCAGACCGCGTCGGCCTCTTCTGCGACTCCGAGGACGTGGAGAGCCTTCAAAGTCTCCAAGAGTCAAGCTGAGAACTTAGAGACTCAAATAACACAGATAGGGAGTAAAACACAGAGGGAGAGTTATCAACACAAAGAGGACATGACGAAGCTGAAGGAGCGCTTCAGCAGGCAGGCGGCCACTTGGCGCGCGCATAAAAAGTGCGCTGAGAGGGAGATGGGATGTGTGCGTCTTTCTCAGAAAAGGCACTTTGGGGGCACTCCCCATGCCCCACCTCTTTTGCGTGATTTTATCCGCCAGCAACACCAACACGGGTTCTCAGAGACTCGAATACCTAAGAAGCATATGGTTTTACCCAACAAGAAACATGAGAGGATTGGAGTTGTGACACATTGCGCACTCTGCGCTTCTCAAGCCGCTTCCGAGGAGAGCGACTCGCATCTCGGCTCGCCGCCACAACACAAGGACTGCATATGACTGAATGGGACTTGTGATGGCTTGTGAGGACTTGTGAGGACTTGTGCTTCTTGTGCCTGTGCTTGCGGAGAAATGCAAATGGCCTTTGGCTGTGACCTCCCAAATGCTGTGCTTAACACATCAGACATCGCCGAATATGTCCAAATCCTCGAATCCTGGAATCCCTGTCGAGCAGTCTCCACTGGGGCAGTTCTCCAAACTACAAAGTGACCGCAAGTGATTCTCATTCCTCAAAGAACCGCAAGTCCCAGCAGTTCAGCGCTAAGGGGCTTCTGTGCAAACCGGGCGGTGCTCCCAAAATGTGCAACAACACATCAACAAGCATCAAGAACCTGCCATCTCGAAAGGGAGAGGACACTTTGGACACTTTGGGCACTTCGGACACAGCGCCCGTGCTCGAAGTCCGGACGCTCGACCAAGCTCACGAGGCAGGAGGGGGAAAAGGGGGTGGGGTAGAGTCATGAAGGGTCGTAAAGAATTGTAAAGAGTCGTGGAGTCCGGGTAGAGATCTGTTTTTCTGGGCAAGGGAGATCACTGAGGTCTCTGCAAGGGTGTCAGCGGTGACATGTGCCAGGAGAGACGTGACGAGAGAGACGTTTAAGACCGTCAGACTATGTTAGGCTCTGGAGGTGGAATGCATTAAGAGAAACCAGAGACAGTTTTTTGGCTTGTGTGAGCAGATAATTTCTGTGCAGAATTTGTGCAGAGAATTGGTGTCAAGTGAGGCGGTCAAGCGCTTGAGGGAGTTCCCGGATGCCACCTTCGCCGTGTTTTCGGAGGCAACCGCGAGATCTCCGTGTTGAGCGCGCGCGCGCGCGCGCTCAACACCTTCTTCGTTGCTGCTTGTGCCCTTGTTCATGAAAGAGCTCCCCAGATTTCCAGACTTCAGGCTGACAAGGATGATGCGGCAAGGCAGGAGAGAGGGAGAGAGGAGGAAGAAAAAAACTCCTGGCAAGACAAGAGCGAGACGTACAGTACCGCACGGGCGCGGTGTTTTTCTTTTTTTCTCTCGCTCGATTCTTCGGGGGGAGGGCAAGTTGCGCACTGCAGAGTTCGCGCAGAGAGCATCGCGACAGCGCACTCGGGGGCGAGATGTCTCTGCTCACACCGCAGAGGCCTTGGTGCGCTCCCTGCCTGGCGATTTACGGAGGCGCCATACATCTTCTCTCGAAGTTGAAAGTGTCCCCTTATGAGTGCCCCACAGCGCCCCCCCCACCCTACTGCCTCCCCTACTCTGCCTTACTGTTTGCTGAGCAAGGCCCAAGCGTCGAGCTGGGTGGCCGAACGAAGGCCAAAGCAAGATTTGGAAGAGCACAGCAGAAGCGCTTCTTGTTAACGCACAAGTCAGCGCCAGGGGGGTTCAAACTTCTGGCAAGGTGTGGGTGGACCTATTGGAGAATGCCATCCACCCAGAGATCTGTTGCGGTGTGGCACTGGAGTCTCTCGTTCGGTCCCATTTTGGGGTCGGCGAATTGCACTGTAGAGCTGTAGAGTCGCGTAGAGACCGCCGCAGAAGCTCGGGGGGGGGTGGGGGACAATATTGGAGAGCAAGAAGGAGAGCTTGAAGGAGAGCAAAGGAGGGGCTGA